GGAAGTAGATGCGTCAGAGAATGCAGTAGGCTCCATCCTTTCCCAGTGAAAAGGCACCAAGGAACTTCTACATCCTGTAGCGTTCTTTTCAAGGAAGCTTACTCCCGCAGAGAAGAACTATGATATTGGCGATCGAGAACTATTGGCCATCAAAACCGCATTAGAAGAATGGAGGTACGTGCTGGAAGGAGCCACACACCCAATCTTGATTTTCACCGATCATAAGAACCTTGAGTACCTGAGAACTGCCAAACGGTTACGCCCGCGACAGGCAAGATGGGCGCTCTTTTTCTCCAGGTTCTCATTTCATATTACTTGCAGACCTGGTTCTAAGAATACAAAACCCGACGCGCTGTCACGCATGTTCGAGGACCCCGAAGAAGAGCCAGTACCCGATACCATTCTGTCCTCAGGGAACTTCTTGGCCCTCCAAACGAAACTTCAGTCGAAACTTCTGGACGCATCCACGGCTATGTCAACCCCATCTGGGGTGTCCCTCCAGAACAAGGGGGGACTCCTATGGAAGGAGGGGTTGATCGGGGTTCCTGAAGAAGTACGAACCCTAGTCCTGGGACATTGTCATGACCACCCGATGGCAGGACACTTTGGCCTAGCAAAGACCCTGGAGCTTCTCCAGCACTCCTTTTGGTGGCCGAACATGGCTAAGGTCTGCAAACGTTACGTGAGTACCTGCGCCGTCTGCCAAAGGAACAAACCTTCAAGGAACAAGGCTTGGGGACTGTTGCGCCCACTACCGATACCCGAATGACCATGGCAAAGGATCGCAATGGACTTCATAGTCGAGCTCCCTCTGTCCCAGGGCCACACCACGATCCTTGTGGTCATCGATCGACTGTCTAAAATGGCCCACTTCTTACCATTGAAAAATACCCCGTCGACATCCGAGACTGCACAAATTTTCATTCAGTCGTAAGACTACAGGGAGTCCCAGAGGACATCGTATCAGATCGAGGGGTCCAATTCACGTCAAAATTTTGGAGGGCTCTATGCAAGGCATTGGATATCAAACTTTCCCTCTCCTCCGCGTTCCACCCGCAGACCAATGGACAGACAGAGAGGACTAACCAGACCCTGGAGCAATACCTGCTACACATCCTTCCTACAAGATAATTGGCTACCACTTTTACCCCTGGCAGAATTTGCTTATAACAACGCAAAACATTCAGCAACGGGACAATCCCTGTTTTTCTCAAACTACAGATTCCACCCTGTCTTTCTCCCTGATCTGGTCCCCGATTGTCCAGTTCCGGAAAACACAAGACGCACTTGCTTTTTTCTCCACCAACAACAAATTACTTCAGGAGGCCATCGCTCGGGCCCAGGAGGATAACAAGAAGGCGTTTGACAAGAAACGAAGAGGGGACCTGGTGCTGCAGCCTGGGGATAAGGTTTAGTTGGCAACAACAAATCTAAAAATGTGTCATTCAAGGAAATTGGGACCGACGTTTGTAGGCCCTTTCTGTGTGAAGCGAATGATTAACAAAGTGGCATACGAGCTTGTCCTCCCTGAGACATTCAAGATCCACCCAGTATTTCCCGTGTCCCTGCTGAAACCAGTGGTCCCAGACCCTTTTCCAGCTCGAGAGTCCAGACCTCCGGAGGCCATAACTATCGAAGAGCAAGAAGAATTTGAGGTAGAAGCAATCCTGAAATGCCGAAGGTGGGGGGTCAGACCCAGTTCCTAATTAAATGGAAGGGATATGGTCCGGAGGACAATTCCTGGGAACCAGCCCAAAATGTTCATGCACCTAGACTTGTCCGGGGGTTTCTTCATGATCACCCGTGGTGGAGAGATCGGGTGGGCATCCAGGGATTGCCCGTAGGGGGGGGGGGGCAATGTCGGGGATCCCCGCGGCGCTGGTCCTGGCGCAGTGCGCCGCCTGGTGCAGGGACATGGGCACTAAGTCCAGGCCGACCGCGGTGTTCGAACACTAGGAGCCGCGGGCACGCGGCTGACACCAATGACAGCGCAGGGCGCGATATTTAAACGGCCCTGAGCTGTCATTCAGTGCCTTCTGGTCTTACCTGCTCCCTGAATCTGCGAACCTGTACCCTGTAAGTTGCTGATCCGGATTGTACCTGCCCACTCTGTATTCTCCTACTCTGACCCTTGGCTTGCCTGACCTCTCTCCCGGATGCCCCCTATTGGATCTGATACTCTGTTACTGACCTGGCGTGTGACCCGACTATTCTCTGCCCTCCGCTTTGTACCGCACCGCCCCCACGGCTACCGACCCGGCTTGTCTGACCTCGCACTTGCTCAGCCATCCATCCCATCGGGGTCACCTGACCTCCTCATATCAGGCTCTCCCCTGTTGGAGCCCCTGGCGAACACCCCTACCACTGACGGGTGTACTCAGTAGTCGCGACCTGGTCTCGGGGTACTCCAAGTCCATCCCCACCATCAGGGGCCCTGGTGAATAAGTACTCTGGGGCTTAGATTCTGCGCTCTGGGGACACCTGACCAGTGGAGTGCTAGTGGTGCCGTCAGGCGGTCCGTTACACCAAGTATATCAATTAGTGAAAAATATCAAATCAACTGTTAACCAAGTGATCTCATGCAGAAATCCAAACAATTGAAATACAGCCCTGAGGAAGTCACATGGTATTGTGATGCAACGCATCGGCCTGACGTAGTGACGCACTTCCGGCATAGCGGCCATTTTGGTACACCTGTACACCCATACATTCGTTCCCTCATCCGAAAGCATGGGGTTTTGAACTGGATACTGCTGCCATGTGAGTTAATGAGCTTTGTTATTGTCCCTACTTTGTTACCATCAGCATTTTTTGGACTTTAAGAGCACTGTTTAAGTTGTCTTTATATTGTGGTTTCACTACACTATATGCACGCGTGATTTTTATATATATGATTTACACTGAATGGATTTATATAGAAAGACATATATGCTTTTCACATGTTTTAGGTTATTATAATTAAGTTTGAAGGTTGTGATTAATCAGCACTAATTGTTTTCAATCATCATCACCATCATAGTTTGAGTGTATTTTTGTGTTCACATACAATTGTTTGGATTTCTGCATGAGATCACTTGGTTAACAGTTGATTTGATATTTTTTCACTAATTGATATACTTGGTATATATATTTATATGCACTTATTTATTATGCGAGCAGCGCTACATTTTTTTATTTTGGTTTCTGAGGAGCAGCTTCTGTTAGCAAAGGGACTGTCAGCCAGGGTGGTGGCTACGCTCTTAGCCAGCAGGAAGAGGGAAACCCAAGCCATCTATAGGAAGGTCTGGAGGTGCTTTAAAGAATGGTGCTACAGGGTCTCAGTGGTTACCCATAGCCTATTGTTGGTGCTTGAATTCCTGCAGGCGGGGGTCGATAAAGGGCTCACGATCAGCACACTCAAGAGCCAAATTTCGTCTCTTAGTGTGTTTTCTGGAATCCCCTTTAGCTAAGGAGGCATTGGTAATTGGGTTCTTTAGAGCTCTGGCAAGACAGAGACCTCCTGGAAATAGACCTTTCCCAAAATGGGATTTGGCAAAGGTACTCAAGGTGTTGATGAAACCACCGTTTGAACCCCTAGGATCCTGCTCCCTAAGGGCCCTCACGTTTAAAACTGTATATTTGGTGGCAATCACCACAGCAAGGAGGGTGTGTGAACTGGAAGCCCTGTCGGTCAGGACGCCTTATTTGCAATTTTTTCCGGATAGGGTGGTGTTCAGGACTGACCCATCCTTTGTTCCTAAAGTGGCCCTAAATTTTCATAGAGAACAGGATATAGTTTTGCCTTTGTTTTACCCTAATCCCTTGGGGGAAAGATAAGAGAAATTTCATTTGTTAGATGTAAGAAGGTGTGTGCTCCTTTACCTAGATAGGACTAAAATATTTCGAAGCACAGATTCATTTTTTATTTCTTTTGCGGGGGCCAGGAAAGGGCAAAAAGCCTCCAGGCGCACAGTAGCTAGATTGTTAAAGCTAGCAATTGAACAGGCATACCAGGCCGAGGGTCTAGAAATCCCAGAGGGAATCAGGGCTCATTCTACACGGGCCATGGCAGCAACGCAGGCGGAACAGGCAGGAGCCTCCCCGGGACAGATTTGTAGGGCCGCAACCTGGTTCAGTTACGGGACGTTTGTTAGGCATTACAGACTTGACCTGGTCTCAGTGCAGGAGCAGGCCTTCGGACGTAAGGTACTGCAAGCAGTGAGCCCGCCTGAGGGGTAAGTACTCGCTTATCCTCTCAAGGTGCTGTCCTGATAGACAAAAGGGGAAAATCAAAGTTACACTTACGGTAACGCCTTTTCCAGTAGTCTTTCAGGACAGCACCGGTTACCCACCCTTTGTTGCAGAATTGTTGTGTGAGATGTCTTATGGTATGTTTTGGTGTCTCATATTATATCTTCCCAGGTGACCGGAGGTACGAGTCCAGGAACTGAGGTCGGAGGGGAGTGATAGTGCTTTTTGTTTAGGGTGGAGGTGTTTCCTCAGGTGGGGAGGAGCCAAGGTCTCTAGAGGTGCTGTCCTGAAAGACTACTGGAAAAGGTGTTACTGTAAGTGTAACTTTGATTTTTTTTTTTTTTTTTTTTTCTTTTATTATTTTTATCTGTTATTGGGAATCTGGCATTTCCTGACTTCATGGCTAAGCCCTATGAACTGCCATTTCACTGCCAGATGAGTGTCTAACAAAAGTAATAGGTATCCTGTAGTTTCTGCGGCTGGGCAGGACCTATACTTGTACAAAGTTTAAAACTGTGTACATGTGAGAACACTTTGAGTTTTTGCCAAAGAACTAAATATCATCAATAAACCTAAATAAGATAATTACGCACACTATGTAATAGTAAATTGGTCTTTCTGTTGCCTTTTTTATATGCGGAAGCTGAACAATGTAGTCATTTTTACAACCTCATCATTAACAGAAATGGTCTTCTTTTGTTGCAAAAAAAACAATAGAAATTTAATTCCTCAGGTTTGCTATACACCAATTTTTTTTATGATTTTTGCCTAGGTCCTTATATGTCGCAATTACCGTGGCGATGTCGATATGTCTGAAGTTGAGCACTTCATGCCAATCCTAATGGAAAAGGAGGAAGAAGGGGCACTTTCACCAATACTTGCTCATGGAGGAGTCAGGTTCATGTGGATTAAACACAATAATTTATATTGTATCCTTTCTTATAAATGGCTTAAAAAGAATTTATTGTACATTTTAGAAATGTTTTTTCTCCATTGTCAGGAAAAATTGGAAACACTTAATGCAACTTAGTAGGAGATAATATTGGTATCTTCTTATGGCTCCTTTGTTCTGGTTATTCATTGTTTTTCTCTAGTGGGCTTTGAAATTCCTCATCCTCAGATCATTATTGGCATACTGCATCTCAGAGGAGAACTGGGGTTATTTCACTAGTAGAAAGCAACAGATTTATTTCTGAAGGTGTGCTGATATCCATAGCTCTTTCCATCTCTCCATCAAAACTCTCTCATCCCCAAGCTAGGCGGCCTGGGGGTAAAGGTGAGGGTGTGGTGCTGGGGAGTGGGGACAGTAAAAACAGGCAGTTGAGCTGAAGTTCAGTGTGCTCACCTAAAATCTACCATACAGCTGGAGGGGCGATTCACATGCAGTGGTCATGATATTTTTGATTTTGCAAAAAAGCAAAATAAAAAAAAAACAGGCTTATTCCACCTTAAATGTGACCTATAAACTGTACAACTCAATTGAAAAACAAACAGACATCTTTTAGGGGGGGAGTAAACCTAAAAAAATGAAAATAATGTGGTTGCATAAGTGCGCACACCCTTTTATATCTGGGGATGTAGCTGTCTTCAGAATTAAGCAATTACATTCGAAATCATGTTTAATAGGAGTCAGTATTCACCTGCCATCATTTAAAGTGCCTCTGATTAACCCCAAATAAAGTTCAGTTGTTCTAGTAGGTCTTTCCTGAAATTTTCTTAGTCGCATCTTACAGCAAAAGCCATGATCTGCAGAGAGGTTCCAAAGCATCAGAGGGATCTCATTGTTAAAAGGTATCAGTCAGGAGAAGGGTACAAAAGAATTTCCAAGGCATTAGATATACCATGGAACAGTGACATTGCTAAGAACTGGATGTCCCTCCAAAACTGATGAAAAGGCGAGAAGAAAACAGGTCTGGAAGGCTGCCAAGAGGCCTACAGCAACATTAAACGAGCTGCAGGAATATCTGGCAAGTACTGGCTGTGTGATACATGTGACAACAATCTCCTGTATTCTTCATATGTCTGGGCTATGGGGTAGAGGGGAAGATGGAAGCCTTTTCTTATGAAGAAAAACATCCAAGGCTGGCTAAATTTTGCAAAAACACATTTGAAGTCTCCCAAAAGCATGTTGGAAATTGTTATGGTCTGATAATACCAAGGTTGAACTTTGTGACCATAATTCCAAAAGTTATGTTTGGCACAAAAACAACATTGCACATCACCAAAAGAACACCATACCTACAGTGAAGCATGTTGGTGGTAGCATCATGCTTTGGGGCTGTTTTTCTGCAGCTTGAACTGGGGCCTTAATTAAGGTAGAGGGAATTATGAACAGTTCCAAATACCAGTCAATATTGGCACAAAACCTTCAGGCTTCTGCTAGAAAGCTGAGCATGAAGAGGAACTTCATCTTTCAGCATGACAACGACCCAAAGCATACATCCAAATCAACAAAGGAATGGCTTCACCAGAAGAAGATTAAAGTTTTGCAATGGCCCAGCTAGAGCCCAAACCTGAATCCGATCCAAAATCGGGGGAGTGATCTGAAGAGGGCTGTGCACAGGAGGTGCCCACACAATCTGACAGATTTGGAGTGTTTTTGCAAGGAAATGCGGGCTATTATTGCCAAGTCAAGATGTGCCATAGATAGAATCATACCCAAAATGACTGAGTGCTGTAATAAAATCAAAAGGTGCTACAACAAAGTATTAGTTTAAGGGTGTGCACACTTATGCAACCATATTGTTTTCATTTTTGTATGTTTACTTCCCCCCCCCTAAATGATTTCAATTTGTTGTTTAATTGAGTTGTACAGTTTATAGGTTACATGAAAGGTGGAAAAAGTTCTGAAATGATTTATCTTTGTTTCATTCTTTACATCACAGAAACCTGACATTTTAACAGGGGTGTGTTGAATTTTTATATCCACTGTATTTTACACTTTGCACCCATATGCTCAACTTTACATCTTTGTGCAAGAGGCCTTTGTCACGATTGCAAGATCGCCGCCACCAACATGCGACAACCTCACGATCATGGCGTCAGACCCCAGACCTTCTCACCAAACTCGTGACCGAAGGACTAGCCAATCTAAAACCGCGATGTGACATGCGTAACAATGCCACGCCCAGCTGCACCCTGCACAACAATTTTCCAGCTGACGGACCACAATCGATGTACCGGCAGCCTGGGCGATCGTTACTGGGTCGGGTTAATTACGCAACTAACCCTCCACACTGCCACCACCTCCTTTTTGTACAGAGAAAGAGGAAACTCGCATTATCAGTTATAACACTATAATGATTGAAATAATCGTCTGAATAAAACGGTCCGCAGGCCGGTTATACAGAGGTTTAAACAAACAGTAGCATCTCTTTCGAGGCAGGAATTCGTGAGTTGCAATACAGAGCTATAGAAACCGTTCAACACTTTCAGAAAGAAAGATTTATTACGAAAAGGTCAAACGGGTGCAATAAAAATATTTACAGAAAAAAGATGTAAGTAAGATGTATATAAAATATACAGAGAATAACAGCACAGCAAAGAGATATCAGAGAGAGGTTAAGGTACTTGCCATTAAGCCTTGGATGTAAGCAGATCACGTTTCTGAGCAGAAGGTGGTATTGATGTTAAAATGGGAGACGTCTTCAACTCCACTCTTAGGATTGACAGCCTGTTTTTAAAGTTTCCCAGCAGGGGGTGGCTCTGAAGTAAAGGACCAATCCCCTGTTTAGGGAGGAATCGTCAGGTGGAGCCCTAAACTGGAGCCAACATCTTTCATAACTCATATTCTGGTCTATAACTTTCCATCTGCACAAGCGACAGTCCACCCGCGGGTATATTATTATGCAGACAAGTCTGAGGATTATTTTAGATATGAATTATGAAATTATACTGCATGGTTCATGGGTCCTATGTTTCGGCCTCCCTGATGGTCCGAGACAAAGCGAGTGACCCATCAAACTGTTCGCCTGCTCATTGGCCATCTGATGAGGTGTCCGGTTTTTATGTAAGTCTTTCATATTCCAAGATATGAGACATAGGGGAAATATGGATCTTTTATAAATGTTAGCTGGTGTGTGCTTCTTGGGAATGCCTTGAACTCCTGGGAAGGCTCCATTATCTTTTTACGAAGTGTGAAATTACACAGGTACTTTGGACAGTGAGACTCCAACTCTCTTGGGAAAGCTGGCCTTATCTCTTCCTAGGTGAGAATGGATACAGCTTTCACAGACAGCTCGGCACCTAGCTCAGAGATGCCTTGGCCGGCCAGTGTCCCATAACCAGCACACACACACAAACACTGGCCAAATGTCTCCTCTCAGTGAGAGGGAGGGGTAGGGGAAGGATAAGGGAGAAATGGCTACTCTTAGCAAGATGGAGTCTGCGTACTTCACTGTGTTGCGCATGTTTGCGACAGCCTTAGGCTATATTAGTGGCTTCTCTCGTTTCCAGTGATCCTAAACAAACTAAATAATGAGATCAGGGTTTGGTGGTCATACCATATCTTGTTCTTTTTGCTGAAGATAGCTCCTAATCACTTTGCCTGTGTTTGAGGTCGTGGTCATGCTGCAGAATGAAATTGGGACTGATCATACACCTTTCTGATAATATTGCAGGATGGATAAGTATTTGCATGTACTTGTAAGCATTGAGGAGACACTTAATTCCATTTCCAGATTTTTGTGCAGAAATTAAGCCCCAAACCTACAAGGAACATACAAGATGCTTCATGTTTGCCTGTAGACACTCATCTTTGTACTGCTCTCCAGCCCTTTTGATAAACCGCATTTTGTTACAGCAAACAAAATGTTTTAGACTTGGACTTGTTAATTCGGAGCACCTGCTGCCATTTTGTCTATTGGTGGGTCACTTGGACTTGTTTCTGTTGGAAGTATGGCTTGTTAGCCTCAAGTCTTTCATGAAGAAGTGTTCACAACTCTAGACCATAAAGAAAATACACAATTAATCACCACCTTCTGGATGTTGTCCTGCAACCAGGTTTCTATCCAGGTACATTCCATGTCATCAATGCCAAAAGACCTTAATTTGTAAATAATAGTTTGTGGGGTGTTGTATCAAATGCCTTAATGAAATCTAGATACACCACATTCAAAGGTCTTCCTTTTAGCCAAAAAAAAAAAGCTCACTTCCTCATGGAATGTTAAAACGTTGGTCTTGCAAGAACAGTCTTTAATAAATCCATGTTGCTTACGACTAATGATACTATTTTTTACTATTTTCATCAGCAAATTCTTGGATATGGTTCCTTATCATCCCTTCCAATGGTTTACATACTATTGATGTTAGGTTGACTGGTGTGTGGTTTCCAGGTGTGTGTATATATATCAGTCCTTTTTTGAATGTTGACACCACAGTTGCTTTTTGCCAATCTACTGGTACCATTCCAGTCAGTAAGCTGTTCCTAAAAGTGAGGAATAATGGTCTGACTATGACCTATGTTCTTTGCGGACTCTTGGATGTAAGCTGTCTGGTCCTGGTGATTTATTCACATTAAGTTTTTCTAGTCTTTTTTGAACACTGGTCTTTGTTTACCACAAGGGTACATTCAATAATAATGGTTTTAACATTACCTTCTAGTTTTCTTGTTTAATATACTCTTCCTTTTCTTTCATATAAACTGAGGAGGACAATGTAATTATTACAGTTTCCTTCTTCCTGTCCCTAGTGACCAACTTCCCGTGATCAATATGTTTTGACCTAGCCTTTTATATATTTTAACGAATTTTGGGGGATGTTTTATTTACTTTCCTTAGCAATGTGTCTTTCATAATCTATTTTAGCGGCCTGATCACACTCTTCTATTTCTTACTGCATTTTTTGTAGTTTTGAAATGTAGATAATTTTTTAAAGGACTATTTCTTTCTCCTTAATATGCCTTTTTTATGTTGGCATTTAGCCACCCAGGTTTAACTTTTGTTCTTTTATATTTGTTATCCAGTGGAATGCTGTTGGTTAATATGCTGTTAATGCAACCCTGCTTCTCTTGAAATTGATCCTGTTTAGTGTTTATGTAGTATGAAGCGCAGCTCTTTTGAAATGTAGCTTTCTTTTCCTATGCTTGTGTGTTTTTCCTATAATTTATGGTAAATGTAATTACTCATTGATCACCGTTACCTAGATTATCCCTTACTTCCAATCTGCAGTTAGCTCTGTGTTAGTTGTAATTATTAGTACCAGCAGAGCATTATCTCTAGTTGGGGTTTCCACCATTTGACTCATGAAATTGTCTTGCGTCACATGCAGGAAATGGCAACCCTTAGTTGAGTGAGCAGTTCTGTCTGCCCAATCAGCATCAGGATAATTGAAGTTCACCATAGCTACCCTCCCCATCATTTCTTATTGTAAAAGTAGATGGGTCTCTTCCTCTGGTCAGTGCCTGCACAGTAAATAGCTCTGCAATGCTGGACCAGGTGGGATCTGACAGCTCAGCATCCCTGAAGAGTACAGTGAGGGCTGGTTTGGGGTGGTGGGGGAATGAGGAGACTGTACAGTGGTCAGCTTTTCATTTATTCTGAAAAGGTGAACACTTTCAATTTGTAAAAGAATCTGCATTTCTGTCTGTTTACACAGCTCTGCTGCTCCACAGCAAAGATTTGTCCTGCGGGGAGGGGAACTTTTATCCCACATTTTCACTTTTATTAAAAGATTCTCCCACTCCTACCCGGGGACTGGACTGCGAAAGGGGAAGCAGCACGTGGATGAGCTTATCTTTGCCGTTCTGCTCGTCTCCTATTTGCATACTCGTTGCACTGTAGTACACCTGTTTGAATCCTTGTGCTGCAACTCCCCCCCCCCCCCGCCCCCCTCCAAGCTTTTCTGTACCATCTGTACAAATAGCTTGCAAGAGACCAATATCAAGTCAGATTCAGATACTTAAACGCTTGCATTTTTTAAGTTCTGGTGCTTGTTGTTTACAGAGCTGTATTAATATGTGTATTTTATATATGCCTGGATTTCAACTTTAATTTTTAGATTTGGAATGTACATTAAATCTGTTATAAAAACTGATATTTTCTTTATCAACAACTGAAGGACACAGGAATTCATGAGTTGTAACGGCAACGGATCCATTTGTATTATTGCAGATTGTTTTGCTGTAATATTGCCTATTCTGCATAGTTTTGCAAGCCTAAGATAAAGTAAAGGAATAGCATAGAGCTGAAAATTATGCAGTGAATTGGGAATTTGGAGTCTATTTACCTTAACCATACACTAGTGGTTGCAACATCCAAAAAGAATGCTTGTGTGTCACTGGTATTTTCCTTCCTCTACAAAGTTGTTCAGGTGGGTATATCATTTACTATGTAGAAATTACTTTCTCATCATGCAGCTGTTGAATGCGAAAACAGTGATTTAAAGGACATTAGGCTCACATGTCGGACACTAGATATTTTCTTGTATAAATTATTTTTTAAATCTTAAAAACTTAAAGTGGCTCTAAAGTCTCAACGTTTTTTACCTTCACACCTTCTGTGTGGGGTAGCCCCCTAACACTTAAAATTAGTTTATAACCAAAAAATTATAATTTTTAAACTTTTTTTTTTTTTTTTTTTACATTTTTATTTTTATTTTTTTATATATATATTTTTTTTACCATACTGTCACCCTAGCAGTACAGTGTCACCATGGTGACATTGTACTACTTGTGGGGGGTGATTGAAGATTTTTTTTTTTTTTTTTTTTTTACACTGATTGCTTTTACACCCATAAAGGCTGTAAAAGCAATAATTTCTCCTTCTCTCTGGCTGCATTCTTGCAGCCATTGAGAACTACTGTTTGAGCTGTGATTGGTCACAGCTTGTCACATGGTACGAGGCTGTTGTGAATAGCCTTGTACCATGTGACCTCTGTGAACATTCACAGATTTCACACGTAGTAAGCAATGATGACATCTTGCTTACTACTCAGCATGTGATCACTGATTGGACAATCGGTGATCACATGATCAGGACCTCGCAGAGAGGTCCCGTATGACGATCAGTGTTCCACTGTGTCCGGAGGACACAGCGGGCACCGGATTGCGGTGCTGCGCACTCGCAGGGGGGCAACCACCCGACCCTGCACTGCCACCGTCCGGCCGTTTATATACAACAACCGGACGGCAAGTGGTTAATGATTATTCTTATGAAACAAACCGTATACAAATATGCAAGTCTGGTGTCTGTGATTAAGCTGCTCACATCCGGGAGAATTCAGATATTTATAGCATGTCTTCAATCTCTTTCCAAGTTCAGCCAGGTCAGAGCAATGTTATATATTGTTTTATAGAGCCCAACATATGTGTTTTATATATTCTGATGCAAATTGTGTTTGGATGTGTTTTTGAGTGCAGCTGTATAGGGTATTCATTGTTTGTTTGTTTTTTGTGTTTTTTTCACAGAGCAGTATTATGATGTAGTGTAGATTTAGAAGTGCATCTAAATCTCCCTGTCCTCTGAAGCTCAATTAGCCTGTTTTAACCCCATTTTTGCTGACAAACTCAGGACGTTTGCAGAGCTTCCCCATTTGTGTCATTGTGTAGTGTTCAACGGGCTTGTCGCACGCGGATTGCTACATGGCGGCCAAACATTGCTGCAGCCCCGACGCATGTAAAAACCCTGGTCTGCTGCCTATTGCAGCTTGGGGGGGGGGCGGGATGGGTGGTTTCCTAGGTGGTAAACAAACGCAGCTCAACCACTCAACTGCCTGTCTAAATGAATAGTTAGAGTTAATAAACTCTAAATTATTCATGCAGTAGAAATTTCCTAATGTGATTTTGAGGGCTAGTTCACACCAGAACACAGTGAGGGAAAAACCCATGCAGGTGCCAATATATTAACAGCACCCCAAACGCAGATCACAAATGTGGTGCGTTTGCAGGCAACAAATCGCATGTTACCTCAGTACCAATCAATTTGGTGCTGCATGTTTTTAAAAGCAGTGCATGCTCTACTTTATACATGTTCCCGTGAGATTTGCATTCAATTGCAATGAATCACACTGTACAGGAATGCAGCACGCATTCCGGTGCAGTTCCGGTGTGACCTGACTCCTAACACTTTTTTTTTTTCCTGTTTTGGCAAAAAGGTGATTTGGTCACACCTAAAATACTCGGGAATAAAGAGCTGTCTGTAGTTCCCTTAAGAACTACCTGTGCCTAATTCAGGCAAGCATTACCAACATGTTCGGTAAATTAAGGTCGTTTTTGCTACTTCCACTTTAAGAGAGATTCCCTGGCCAAAAGCTGAATCAAAGCAAAAGGGCTGGGGATACAGTTGATGTCATTACCCTGCTATGGGCAATGCCCATATTTAAGAATTGACTTGTCATAGAGTGGGTGGAGTCTAATGGGGAACTAAGAGCAGCTTGGTGTGAACAAATCAACTGTGGGAGCAATAATTAGAAAATGGAAGACATACAAGACCACTGATAATCTCCCTCGATCTGGGGCTCCACGCAAGATCTCACCCCGTGGGGTCAAAATGATCACAAGAACGGTGAGCAAAAATCCCAGGACCACACAGGGGGACCTAGTGAATGACCTGCAGAGAGCTGGGACCAACGTAACAAAGGCTACCATCAGTAACACACTACGCCACCAGGGACTCAGATCCTGCAAGGCCAGACATGTCCTCCTGCTTAAGCCAGTACATGTCCGGGCCCGTCTGAAGTTTGCTAGAGAGCATTTGGATGATCCAGAAGAGGATTGGGAGAATGTCATATGGTCAGATGAAACCAAAATAGAACTGTTTGGTAGAAACACAACTCGTGTTTGGAGGAGATAGAATGCTGAGTTGCGTCCAAAGAACACCATACCTACTGTGAAGCATGGGGATGGCAACATCATGCTTTGGGGCTGTTTCTCCGCAAAGGGACCAGGACGACTGATCCATGTACAGGACAGAATGAATGGGGCCATGTATCGTGAGGTTTTGAGTGCAAACCTCCTTCCATCAGCAAGGGCATTGAAGATGAAACGTGGCTGGGTCTTCCAACATGACAATGATCCCAAACATACCGCCCGGGCAACGAAGGAGTGGCTTCGTAAGAAGCATTTCAAGGTCCTGGAGTGACCTAGCCAGTCTCCAGATCTCAACCACATAGAAAACCTTTGGAGGGAGTTGAAAGTCCGTGTTGCCCAGCGACAGCCCCAAAACATCACTGCTCTAGAGGAGATCTGCATGGAGGAATGGGCCAACATACCAGCAACAGTGTGTGCCAACCTAGTGAAGACTTACAAGAAACGTTTGACCTCTGTCATTGCCAACAAAGGATATATAACAAACTATTGAGATGAACTTTTGATATTGACCAAATACTTATTTTCCACCATAATTTGCAAATAAATTCTTTCCAAATCAGTCAATGTGATTGTCTGGATTTTTTTTCTCATTTTGTCTCTCATAGTTGAGGTCTACCTATGATGCCAATTACAGGCCTCTCTCATCTTTTTAAGTGGGAGAACTTGCACAATTGGTGGCTGACTAAATACTTTATTGCCCCACTGTATATGTGAGATAACAGTAAGTGGTCTTGCCATGCAAGAACACTTAATTATAAAACACATTCTTAAAGCCCAACTCCAAGTAACACACAGCCCAACTCCGGGAAAATTACAGGAATGTGCGCATACTCATTTCTATGAGGGATGCGCCTATGCACATTTCTATTAGCAATGTTGTGCGCGTGTGCATATCTATGCACCAGTCGCCTTATAGGAATTCCCTTACAGGTCAAGCCCATTTTTTTTGTTATATTTTTCCTGAAAAAATACGCTTGATAAACAGATACTATCTTTTTATTCTACAAGGCCCCTCTTTTCAGAAAATCTATAATGTTCTGGGGATTTTAAAGTGGTTCTAAAACTAAAACGTTAATTACCTTAATACATTCCCTGCGTAAAGGTAAAAAACATTTTAGGACTTACTGTGCCCCATCCTTCTCTAAACACTTACCTCACGCCTAGAACGATCCAACGCTGTGCCCATCTGCAGTCTCCTCTCCTGTCTCCCTCTTCACACAGGGACTGACGGGTAGTAAGAAGGAGCCATTGGCTCCTGCTGCTGTCAGACATCTTTAGTGATGAGGGAAGTGGGTCTGATCTGCTTTGTGTGTATCAATAGGATTAAGCCTGCACGTTTGCCTCCATAGCAAGTGGGTTGCTATGATGCCAGACACAGAAGAGGAGGAGCCAAGAGTATCGGCGGTAGACCCCAGAAAAGAAGGTTTGGGCCACTCTGAACAATACCTTTGCACACAGCAGGTAAGTATAGCAAGTTTGTTATTTTAGGGAAAAAGCCTTTAGAACCACTTAGTCATTTTATACCCAAATATGCACATTTTTTACATGTGGGCAAAAAATTTTAAATTTGCTCTGGAGTTGAAGTGGTTTAATATACAAAGTTGCTGCAAGGCTTTGCTTATGCTTGTCATCTTTAAATAGACTTTAAAGTGGTTCTAAAGCCTAAACATTTTTTTACCTTAATGCATTCCCTGCATTAGGGTAAAAAATGTTTAGGTAGTAATCGTGCCCCCTCACTTCCCCCTACCCCCTTATATTTATCTGTGCGCTCATGCGCTTCAGGGATGTGTTTGTCTGCAGCTGTTCTCCGCGCTCTTACAGTCTTTGCTGAGCTGCTGCTGTCAGTCAAATTCTGTGACAAAAGAGGGGGCACTGTGTGTGTGTGTCTGTGGACACAGGCAGCTCGCCTCTGGATAGAGCCCACAAGTTTGCAACAATAAGAAGCGGCTTGCTATGGTAGCACACCGAGAAAATAAGTAGTTGAGAGCGATGACGTCGGACCCACAATGAGGAGGATCAGGGCCGCTCTGTGCAGGTAATTATATAACATTTGTCATTTAAAAAAAATCAAACTTGAAATCACTTTAAACATACATATCACATTTATGATGCATATGTACAGTTGTACAAATAACATTTTATAGTTTCTCTTGCATATTTTTTTGTGTTTCAGGTATTTTCTGAATATTTCAAAGAATTAGAAGAAGAAAGTATACGCGATAATTTTGTTATTATATATGAGTTTGTTAGATGAGTTAATGGATTTTGGCTATCCTCAGACTACAGACAGCAAAATATTACAAGAGTAAGTATTGAGTCTGCTTCCTGTTTTTTGAAAAAAGTTTTCACTTTAGATGTTGCTTGAGGTGATTGTAGCCGTATTAGTGCATTTGCGACAGAAACAATTAAGTACTGTCCGTGATACTTTTTTTATTTGCACTAACATACAATTTTGAGGACAAGCATTCGGGGTATGTCCCCTTCTTCAAAGTCCAAACAAATTGTATGTTAGTGCAAATAAAAAAAAAGTATCACGGGCAGTACTCAATTGTTTCTGTCACTTTAGATGTTAAAACTACCCAAGACTGGTATTTGTTATGCATGAATGCTGCTTGGGTAAATCTTCAGCTAGCTAATGTTTCTTAGGGATCCTAGACGTGAGATCTCCCTGCTATTGTTCATAGCTCAGCCTATGCATATCCTTATCATCCACTTTCTCCTGCTGGCTTGGCAGTCGTCTTGTTTTGAAAAGATGTTTTTTTTTTTTTTGTTTTTTGTTTTTTTAGGCAGACCTGATCAGAACCTCCATTCTGCTCTATGGAGTGGTGGTTGTAAATGGACATGTTCGTTTACACCCGCCTACATCCGATCTGCCAAAAACAGACGGATGGGTATCCCCCATTTACCCATCTATCCATTGGATCGGATGGAAATCCGGTGTTCTATAAAAAAAAAAATAAAATGTTCCATATTTGAACATTCCAAGGAGCACCATTATATCTAAAGGAAAAATAAAAATATCTTAACTACAGACCTGATAAGAGAAGGCCACCCACCAAAACTCAGACTGGTAAAAAAACCAAAATGCATAATTAGAGATGCAATAAAATCATCAAAGATAACACTGAAGGAACTTCAAAGATCCACGGTGAAGGTGGGAGTATCTGTGCATAGGACCACTTTGAGCCATGCATTCCATAGAGTGGAGCCTTATGAAAGAACGGCCAGAAAAAAAGTCATTGCTAATAATAAAAGAAATCAGAATACATGGTTGGAGTTTACCTAAACATGTGGCAGACTTCTCAAACACATGGAAGAAACTTATCTGGTCAGATGAGACTAATATTTTGGCCTTCATGGGAACTGTGCCCTCTCGACTGTATGTGACTGCTGTGTCCAGCTAGGGTCCTGATAAACGAGTCAGCAGGCCAATGTCTCACAGAGAGGAGAGGATGTAGGGGATGAGCGGTCCCAAATACTTCTGTCTGTTAGGGAGGAGGAACCTGGACATAGCGCTCTGTACAAGATATCTCCTGGGGGTCAGTGTGTTCTTTAGGCTCTGACTTTTCCTACCTCTCAGGTAACTCTGCTACCTCTGGTGCACCTTCCTCACAGTTCCTTCGTTAAAATGGAGTAATTTTCATCTGCTTTTGCTGGGGTTCAACAGCATCTTCCTGGAATACTTGCTGATATAGACTGCCTGGGTCACAAAGGAGACGCCCCCTCCCCCTCCTTCCTCACTATTTGTGGAACCAGTGGAGAAAAACCCAGAGCAAGACAACCTTATTACTGTAGTAGGGGATACAGCAGACTCCTCCTCAAAGGACTCTACACCTGAAGAGTTTATCTTAGAGCAGAAAAGCCTTTGTGAATTTTCACGTGGAAGTTGTTGGCACTAATTTGAAATTACTGCTTCCCGAGCTCTTCTCCATCGATGGTGAATTCCACAAGATCCTCAGTCCTTCCCTATACAGTCTCATGTTAAGTATGTTCTGTACACACACTGGGCTCACCCTGTTCACTCTGCTAAAAAAGATTCAGCAATACCCCATGGAGAGTGATTTCACTAAGAAATGGAGTATGCCTGTAGTAACTCTGGCAGTTTCTTATCTCTATTAGAACCTCATACACGTGAATATTTAAGGATGCTTTGGGCAAGCATCTAGAAGCTTTATTTAAAGCCTCATTTGCCTTGGTGGGAGCAGCTTTGCAGTTGGTGATTGTAGCAAGGTTGCAAGAGGCAAGTGCTACTTTTACAAAGGGGCGGTATATAAAACTAAGAGATTGGGTAAGGTGTCCCACCAATTACACCATTTCTGCAAACATCCCAATAGCAAAGCAAAAAAAATTTATGCTAATATCCCCGTGGGACTTTTTATGGCAAAAAAGATATATTATACACAATCTAAAACAGGAAATCTTTCATTACAAAATTTGATAAAAGAATCAAGAAGATCAATAAAATCAAGCTGCAATACAGCAAGTCATGACTCAAAAGATGCACTATATTGCCAAAAGTATTGGGACACCCCTCCAAATCATTGGATTCAAATGTTCCAATCACCTTCATGGCCACAAGTGTATAAAATCAAGCACCTAGGCATGCAGGCTGCTTCTACAAACATTTGTGAAAGAATAGGTCACTCTCAGGAGCTCAGTGAATTCAAGCTTGGTACTGTGATAGGTTGCCACCTGTGCAATAAGTGCACCAGTTAAATTTCCTTGCTACTAAATATTCCACGGCCAACTGTTGTATTATAACAAAGTGGAAGCAATTGGGAACATCAGCCACGAACTGATAGGCCACGTAAAATGAAAGAGCAGGGTCATTGCATGCCTGGCTGGCTGCAGTGTCCAACAACAGGGCGGTAGACCAAACCCACCATCCACACAGAGGCCAGGGATAGAAATACCACTGTGGCCCCTAGTGGATAGGGGGCCCAATGCACCCGCCCAACACCACGGCCAGGGAACAAGAGCTCCCCCGACCAATTGTTAGAGGAGCCTGGCCGTACCGGGTGATGAACGTCGACCATGTAGCTGCCCCCACCCGTGACCCTTGGAGATGACAAAGCAGGCATCCACCCCTATAAAACAAAATCCTACAATAAATAAGATGATATAAGGTAATACTACATAAATATACAGAGGAAAGGAAAGATGGAAAAGAATAAGGGGTCAAAAGGTTGATGAAACATTTTAAAAATGGAACAATTGGAATCACAAATCCTTCAAACTAATCGTTTGCATGGATCGCCTCTGTTTGCCCCCTGTATTCACTGTGCACCAGTCGGCCTGGTTCGCAGTCTCCGCTCTAATTAATGCCAGAGGTGTTCTGTCGAGGTTGAGGTCAGGACTCTGTGCAGGTCAGTCAAGTTCCTTCATCCCAAACTCGCTCATTCATGTCTTTATGGACCTTGCTTTGTGCACAAAAGTTGTTCTACAAAGTTTGGAGCATCGAATTTTCCAAAATGTCTTGGTATGCTTACACCTTTAAGAGTTCCCTTTACTGGAACTAAGGGGCCAAGCCCAACCCCTGAAAAACAATCCCCCACCATAATCCCCCCCTCCACCAAATTTTACACTTGGCACAATTCAGTCAGGCAACTACCATTTCACCTGGCAACCACCTATAAAAGTAGTATTTAAAAAAACAAAACATATTTCTCTTTTAGGCCTCGTTCACACCATAAGTGCAGAAAAACTGATGGCAACTGACATGCTGATTTCACTTGCAGAGACGTCAAGTTTTGCTGCATGCATTTTGCAAGGGCACTGCGAAAACAATTCTCTATGTTCTGTTCAAACCACAACACTGGTATCGTATGCAGATTTTTTTTCTGCACAGGAACCTGCAAGGTGTGTAAAAACTAATTTAAGCACCCCTGAAAACTGATACCTCTGCAGGTGAAATCTGTTTGTCAGTTTCCATCAGTTTTTCTGCACGTATGGTGTGAACGAGGCCTTAATGTAGTTAAGCAAGATTCTTTAATACTGTGTGAATAAATGTTTAACACATACCAACTGACCCAATAATTTTCTTCCTACTCCTTCCTTTTTATAAGGTGACAACAATTTTCTTCCAGCTCCCAATGTTGCAGGAACATTGTCCCCCCTCCTTTTTCAACTACAGACAGTTTTGCTTTTATCTAATCTGCTGTATAAAACAGTTTCTGCTTGCTGATTGACAGCTGTTCTATTCAGATGGAATTAAAGATAATAGCCAGTGAAAGGTATTTATTGTTCTTTATCACATTACAAAAGCTACAGGGTATCATTTTTACACGCCTACAATATACCCTGAATTGTTGCAAAATGCAGGGCTCACATTATTCTTTAAATGGACTTTTAATGATTCATTGCTGTTACACAGGTCAGGTCTGTAAAGCCTCTCGTGGTATTTATTCAGTCCTGTTTTGTACAATACACATGTAAGAGGCAGGGTATATTGGTGTTTTTTTTGAACATTGAACTTTTGAACATATTAAACTTTTCTGTTAAGAAGTAAATGTTGAACTAATGGTGCAGTGGTTCTGTATTTTATTTTTTAGGTATATTACACAGGAGGGACACAAACTAGAGACTGGAGCACCTCGTCCTCCTGCAACAGTAACCAATGCTGTGTCTTGGAGGTCGGAGGGGATAAAATATAGGAAGAATGAAGTTTTTCTGGATGTGATAGAGTCTGTTAACCTTCTTGTAAGTACTCATGAGCTTAAACATTAACATCTGTTAAATAGTGTAATACAGTAGCCCAACATTGCCTTTTAGCATGTTAGACAACATGTAAAGTTATGCATGGTTTGCTTCAATGAATATTTTCATAATTTGTACTCCAAAGGTATCTTCCACAAATTTCTTTCCCACACTTTGGAGAGCACTGGAAGCTTTAAAGGCGGGTTTTACTGCAGTCTGCAAAAGTGAAAATTGACAAAACAAACAAAAAATTGTAAATGAGCCCAGGATAACCCCTCCCACTTCTAGCATGCCTCAGTTTTTCATCAGTGTCAGTTTTTCGCCAGAAGATGGACGTCTTTCCTCTTACGTTCATTGAAGGACAAAAACAGAGACCTTGATCTCTGACCATTGACTTATGATGCCACCTTCAGGACTAGGACACTAGGAAAAAAAATTAAATAAACAAAAGCCAATTCTTCCCTCCTATTTGCAAGAGGCAGCTCAGTTTTTTCCTACTCTCCAGGAGTAAGGACCTTGGCTCCTAGTTCCTTGTTTGCAGGGAAATCTTTGTTTTTTTTTTCCTATAAGACTCCTTGACCTTCTATCAACTGCTACCTTAGCGAAGGTACCCATTTCATCTTAAGAATGCAATAGGTGTGAAGACCTCCACCTCAGTGAGGTCATGGTCCTGCCATTCTTTATGTCCTGCTTCAAAGCATTCAAAGGAAATCTCTCCATTGCTTGGATGTAGTTAGAACCAGTAAAGTCTACCTCAAAGCTTTGAGGCAACAGATTTTCTCGCCTTTGCAAGAGAGAAGTATTCTGGATACTCAGACTCGAGACTCAGATACCCAAAGGGTTGAACTATGAATAGGACGTTGCCCATTACTATGAATAAAAGAATCCTTGAATGGGATATCACCCACTATTATGAATAATTGCAGTTGTCTACATATTTCTCGCTCTTCTGGCCCTATGTAGTAGACATCACAAAACAAAATAAAATAACGCTGCTTTTGGAGAATTATTGACATTCTGTTCCTCCTGACATATGGACTCCTTGTCGCTTATCCATGTCCTTTATGATGTCCATGAGTAAGGACAACAGACCTTTTTTGTATTTTCATTTTTCATCATGTTTTTATAATGATTTTTAATATTTTCACACACAACACTTTCAATGTTTCACTTGTCACTTTCACTCATTTTCATTTTTTTCTTCTTTCCCTCCTCCCCTTTTTATGTGCAATGTTTTGAATAAAGTTTGCTTTTAATTCTCTTCTGTTCATTCTTACTTTTATCCTTTACATTTATTTTATTTTCTATGTTTATTTCTTTTATGTATTTTTATTATTTTCTTTTCATTCTGATCTTTAAATCTTTAATTTTTCTCTTTTTCCTTCTTTTCCCTTTTTCTCTTTATTAGTTTTTTTTCCGCTCTTTTTTTTTGTTGCACATTTTCCCCCTTCAATTCATATATATTTCATATATTTCTTCCTTGTACACCATATCAAACATATACCCTTTTTTCCATTTTTCTCCTTCTCTTTTCCTTTTTTGATTATTTCTTATTATTCCCCCTCACCTGCACTGACCCCCCCCCCCCCCTTTCACAGCCGATGATGCTATATATAGCTTCCTTGCTGTTTTTCCCCAGCCTCTGTGACCAAGCACTCGATTGGCTGGGTGAAATGCCTCAGAGGTAATGGCTGGAGTGACTGCTGAGGCCAGTTAGAGCCCACATCGCTTCCTGGTTGACTCCTGGGGATTGGTAGAGCGGCATCCATCCTTCCTCACATTCCACCAGATAGTTTCTTGGGCATTTTGGCACCAGGCCTCTGTAGCCCAGCTGTGAAAGGCTACCACTGATCCTCTGTCCATACTTTTTCCAAGTTCCACAAGGTGGATGTCCATCTTTTCTGGATGATGCTTTTAGCCTCAGGCTTCTTGCAGCGGCATTCTGAAGCTTGGTCTGTTAGGCTTCTTGAAGCAGTTCTGTTTGCCTTGTCATTCTAAGATACGGATAAGTGAAAGTTCCTCTTTTCTTGCATGTGCTATATCAGCTTATATGCACTGGTCTAAAGTAAACATTTGAAAGTAAAAACAATTTGATCTGCATGTCCTTTGAGGGATAGAATCTCTCCAGATCAGCTCTTGACATTATCAAGGATGCTACTAATGCCAAGAGCACCCATCTTCCTCAGTGGAAAAGAGCCTAAGAAACAGCCTACAAAATATTCTTCCTCCCTCTTTTTCCCTTTTTGTTTCTCCACTCCCATGCCATCACCCCCTGGCTTGGTTTCCGGTCCACCTGCTGCCATACAAGGAGGTGTATGCCTCCTCCTGTATCGCTGTTTTGTTTATAATTTACTGGTTCACCGAGCGCTGATAATATAGATTTTGTATGCTCTAAGATAACTGCTACAGCTTTTATACTCACCAGCCATTGTGCCTGCCCTTCCTCTCTCCTGCCCATTCACAGAAAACTTTGGATTTTGTGAATGGTGTGACGGGCGCGGCTTTAGACCCCATGCCCTTCTCACCAACTTGTGACCGAAGGACTAGCCAATCTAAAACCGTGCTGCCACTTGCGTAACAATGCCACTGTCAGTTGCACCCTTCACAAAGATTTTCCAGCTCACTGGACCACAATCTGTGTCAACAGCCTGAGACCGATTGCTACTGGGTCAGGTTAATTACGCAATTGACCCTTCACAGGGCCACCATCACCTTTTTACAGAGAAGGAGGAAACTCACAAATCTTAGCAGTAACACTATGATGTTTGAAGAAGTGTCTGTATACACACTGTCACTGCAGACAGATGTATCCAGAGGTTTTAAAACACAGTAGCACTCTTCAGAGACAGGGATTCTTAGTTTGCATTAAAGAGCTTTAGAAACAGTTTAACACTTTTCAGAAAATAGGATTTAATACTAAAAAGGTCAAAATGTTGCAATAAAAATATTTACAGAAAAGCTGATTATATATATAGCAATAACACAACAGAGAGATAAAGGAAGAAGTTTAAGAAGGTAGAATACTTGCAGAAGTCCTGGTTTAAGCAGAGTTTAAATGTCCTGAACAAAAGGGTGCCTTTTCTCCCAAAGTTGGTTCCTGATGTTAAAAGGGAGAATCTCTTCATCTTTCTCTCCAGGCATGACAGCATTTTTTCTAGGAACCCAGCAGGGTGTCTCCTTAAAGCAGAGAACCAATTTGGGGAGGGGGTGTTTAGGCTGGGGACTCAGGCTATGACCAAATCCCTCTTGCGTTTTATACCATGGCCAATAACATTCACTAGGTACATGTAGCAGCCTAGCCACTGGTAGATTAATATGCAGAATGATATCCTGAACGTCCAGACATCAAATATGACATATCTTACCGTTCCAGATAACAACATATTGCTTTCTACGCTCGTGTAGGTGCCACATAGGGGGTGTAATGTCAGGTGACTCGTATTAAACTGACTTATCTGAATATATGCTTTCTTTTATTGTACCTTGTTCCTGTCTGGATTTATGAATTTGTATGAAAAACTGGTTTCAAGTGGGATGTATGTTTTACTGCCATTCGGGAATGCTTTTCCTGTCCAGTGACGGACGAACTGATTTATAGCTTTACGACCAGGCCAAGGCAAGGGTCTGACAGACATCATGGAACCAGCTAATTGGGTTTACAACCATGAAGCGTATCAAGATGTGCCCTGTTCACTCTTGAACTCAGCACACACCCAGACCACATTCCTTGCAAGGGGAGGGGGCTGGAGGGAGAGAGAATGATATTTGCAGAGTATGATACAAGATGGTGGATCTTTAACAAAATGGTTGTCTGCGTCCAATCGCCACAAATGGGTTCACAGAATACACATAGGGGCTGTGGGCAAATGACGCTATGGCTGTTATGTAGGACACCAATAACTGGCGTGTCAGAGCTGCAGAAGTATAGCTATACTGTCAATGTTCATTGAAACTGTAAATTTTATACATTCCGTTGCACTTAATTTCTGATGCACCAGAAGATTTTAAAACTTATTTTTGCTGGAGTTCTTTAATCTTTTGTGGATGTGTGTACAATTTGGATCTTGGATGCCTGGGTTGTCTCTCAGGGCTACAAACTGGGTTTTGCTACCCTTCTTCAGTTTTTTCACCCCCAACTTTACCGTGTCATCTTCAACTTAGGAGATCTCCATTAAGCCCTATCGTTTTTTTCTGTATCAACGTCTCACCTCAGTGTTTGTGGCAAGAGTGGTTCCTGTACACTAAAATATTTAAATAATTACCGCGCTCTAATACCATCAAAAGTGTAATCAAAAAGTGCAAAGTGCTTATGAAATAAATATAAATAAAAATAATTGATATAACGTGACTGATGTAAATAAATAAAAAAATAAAGTATAAAAATAAAATTAATACAATGATATCATACTAACAAATCACTATATGTGCAATCCTCATATATAAATGTGCAAATATTCCATTTGTAAACCACAGAAAAATTCATGATATAATATAAAAAGTCTACTGTGAAAAAAACAACAATACTGTCCTAAATGTGACTGTGCAAATGAGTATCCAGCCAAGACAGATATACTCTCCTTCAGTATGAAGATAAGATCTTTGCAATAATGTTGTGAACCTGTGTGACTGCAGGGCTTTGAGGGATACTCCCTCCTTTGATCCACTCCTAATCCTCTGCCTTTTGTGTTCCTTGTATATCTCATGCAAAAGAGAAATAAAAAATATGGTGTCTTATCCCAGAGGTAAAAACAGCTTTAATGTGCTTCCATAATGCACTCACATGTCATATAATACATTGCGCTTTTAGATATATCAAAATCCGTAGCTTGCAGCTAAAACAGAGCGGAGGGTGTGTCCACACACCTTCAGTGCTCGCCGTATAGTAGAGTGCATGGTGACATCACTGCTCCTCCCCAACGTGTTGCGCTACAGGGATTTCGTAGCTTCGTCCGGGGGATGATGTGGACCCATCTTCTCAGCACATCCGCAATTCCTACTCTTTG